CGCTGCCCCGCGGAGCGCCTCGCTCGCAGCGAGCTGGTGCCTGCCGCGCGCTCCCCTGCAACCGGCCCCTGGGATTAATGCCTGCGCCCTCCTGGGTCGGCTACAGTTTGCCGCTTCCCCCGGCCCCAAAATCCAATTGTGGAAGTAGTTGGTAGCGACTCCCGGAGGAGTAAGGTGAGCGAGGCTCTGCGCTGTCCCCTCAGGAAGGTGCGGGCTGGAGAGAAGGCGCTCAAAGTTTCTCGGCTGCCCGCCAAGCCTTTCTGCATGTGGAGCCGGCTGCCGGACAGCTCCTCGCTGCTGGCTGTGCCGGGCGGGCGTGAGCGCTGAGGGCTTGGCGGGGGGTTCTTCTGAGGAGAAAAGCAGTACGGCGCCTGCTGACTTCTGTCTCCTTTCACAAAGTTTTGCCCGCACGCATACAGTTTAATGCTCTTTTCCGCTGCTTTTCCCCAACCCCCGGTGTTGTGCAGATGCAGGGAACCATGAGGTTGTGGCTGTCCGTGCTGACTTTTGCCCTGTCCTTGCTGATCTGCTTGGGGACGCTGGCAGAGGCTTATCCATCCAAACCGGACAATCCTGGAGAGGATGCGCCAGCAGAGGACATGGCTAGATACTACTCGGCGCTGAGGCACTACATCAATCTCATCACAAGGCAGAGGTAAGGCAATGTGCATCCCAGCATGGCAATGGAGGGTACATAAGGTTAGGGTGTCCTGTGGGGAGGAAACCTTTGTATTCCTCAGCACACCTCTTCTCCAGGTCTCTAAGAAACATGGGACACAAGGTGACTCATGGGAGAATCTTGAATTTTAATCCCTAGAAAAAAGGGGAAATAAATTAACACGTCAGACACTTCTCTATGTGAGAAGTTTCTTCCCTATATACAGCAGTCAGCAATCAACATTATGTGCAGTGCTGCTTGAACTCCAGTATGACTTATGAATGATGGGTTCTTCACACCAGCCAGGTGTAAAATACAGCCATCTTACCCTGCTCCAGGTTGAGACTTGGCATAAGGTCCTGAGCATGGTCTAGTGGGAGTCTGGAGGAGACGTAAAACAGCCCTGTCAGTACTCTTAACACTCGCCACTTCATTAGCTTAAGCACAGAAGATGCGGACAGTAATGGAAGGAAAAGAACTGTATCAACCCGAGCCTGATTTCATTCAGTCTTGTCAGGTTTTAACATGCATAGTTTGGACATGAACATAAGCAGTAGGATGGAGGAGGGAGGGAAATAAAATATAACCAACTTGGAGCATGAAAGTGTGAGGCAGAGGAAGAAAACCACTTTTACACTTCCGTTGTGGCTACTACGTCTAATAAGTTTCTTGGAGAACTTGCATGTGTTCTTGTTGAAGTCCTGTAGTAATTCAGAAATCCTGTGTTTTTTAACAGCTGCTTAACCTAGTAGGTACGACTGAAGAAAAAGTTGCACCAGAATGCAAACCTACCAAACCTTCCTTTCCTTAGAAAAGGGTTCTAGGACTGAGCCTAACTAGTTGAAGTCTGGTAAAAAGTTAAACTGAAGTGAAAGGTAAAAATACAGCCAGGTGTACAGCCTAGTTCCAAGTAAATCCCTTTATTTGGAAGAGTCAGTCCAATTTAGTTCCTCTGGTTAACAGAGAAGTGCACTTCGCTTGAGACCCCTGCACAGCATTTGGCCCAGAAAAGCTTGAATTATCATTCAATTTGTTTAGGATCAGAAATGGACGAGAGAGCTCTAATTACGTTTTCATTGGTTTGTGTCCTCTTGAAGTCTGAAGAATTAAATTAGAAGGAAGGATATCTTTTAACTGAGAGCCTTCCCAGCAAAATGATGACATTGTCCGGTATGGCACCAATGTCAGGGACGGCAGATGAAGGGACTTACAACAAGACTGCTCTTTAGCCCCACGTTTTTAAAGACACATCTTCAATTTGCTATTCTGTATATGTGGTACTCATGTTAGTCTATGATCTGATAACTTTTCATCTGGACCTCTGGCACCTGACAAAATTATCTTTCCACTCTGCCTGTCATCTCTTCCATCTTTCAGACACGCGAGTTTTTACATTGGTCTCTCCTGCCTCTTCTTTCATATCTCACGTGTCAGATGCAAGTTCTCTATCAGCTGATTTAATCATTTAGATAGTGTTTGAGCTGTTGTTCTATTTTGAGAAGTGACCACATAAAAATGTTATAACCTGATTCAGTAGACCCACTGCTTGCATGTATTTCATATTCATTTTTGCTTCCTTTAGTGCCAAGAAATAAAGGTGTATTATTCTTAATCTTTATTCTGCAAAGCCAATCTATAATTAAGAGAGCAAGCTAGATTTCATTCTATTGTGTGCATAATAAATAGACTAGATTAACCAAAATATTTACTGAGGATAAAGTATGCAGCAGACCCCTCCCCCCAAAAAAAACAAGCCCCCCCCCCAAAAAAAACCAAAAAAACCAAATTGGAGCCTTGTATTCTAGGTGGCAGTTAGAAGAAAAAAACAACATTTAACTTTTAAAGGAAGTAGCTTTGTTTGGACCTGAGAGACAGTTAATATAGAACCATGTCACAATGTTATTTTCTGGAGCGGACTACACTATAATCAGAAGAGTGAATGGAGTCCCAAATAGGACTTAATAAAAAACAAAAATAAAGATGGACTGGTTTTTTTGGTCAGTGCATTATGGTACCAGAGCAAACTGCTTGCAATTGGAAAGGTCAGTTTTACTCTTGGAAACTTTCTGCTACTGCAGTAAGAAAATATTGTGGCATACAGCTGACCTAGGAACTAGTGTAATATTCTATGTTATATTTTTGTACCCACGATACCTTTAGAATTTTTGGTCTGTCATGGTGAAGAGTGTTTTCAAAGACAAAGCTCTCCAGTAGAAACTTTAGATAATTTTACTTAGTACTTAGATGACATTAATTAAAGACCGGTTCTAAGCCTGTGGATGCCAGCAGCCCAGGAATGAGAAGGACCTCAAAGCAAGGAACAGAGGATTGGAGATGGGCTCATTACTTCTTGCAGCTTCCTCACACTCACTCACTTGTGCATCTGACCTCTCACCTTTCCTGTGGCCCTGGAGCCCTACTGTAAACTTGCAGCTCACCAAGCAGGTGTTGAGGTATTAGTGACTGTGCTTGAGGAAATTCAGGGCTTTCTGTTTGTTCTTCTGTTACCTGCTTATCTTGTGTGGTGCTCCTTTGACTGCCATGAGTAATTACATGCCTTATCCCTCTTTGTACTGTGCTACCCTAACCAAGGTCTTTTGTTGTCCCTCTAAGGGTTTAGTGCTATCCATACCTGCTGCCCCCTCCATTTGCCCACAGAGTCCTTCTTCATTGCACCTCTCTCTAGGATTGCTTTTCGTTTCCTCCAATGTTTCCGATGCCCTTGGGTCCTTGTCTCATCCTTTCAGCTCCTGTGTTCCCTTTGAAGCAACTGCTACTTATGAGCAATTGCCTTCCTACCTGGAATCACCTTGCCACTTCATGCTATCTGCAACTTCCTATTCCTAACCTTTCCCTTCCCGCTTTCATTTCTCTTATAGGTGATCATTGTCATCTGTTATCCCTTAGGGTGCCTATAGCCATATCACAAATTGCCCTTGCGTGTGAAACTTTTCCGTGTCTCCACTGGAAGAATCTCTGATTAAGATGTTCTGGAGGGGTACTTGTATGTGTTTGGGGTGTGCTGTAAGGTTAGATGCATCTGAACTAGTTTAGATAATATGGGTTTCTAGTAATACCAGATTATTTTAGTTTCACACTCTCATAAAATAGTCATTGTGAAAAAAGCTTTTATTACATGCAGATCCTTTTTTTTATAGTGCGGGCCTGATCTTGCAACATTCTGAACACCTCCTGCAACAGACCAAGAGCACTCTTATTTTCTGTTCAGTAGGATTTGAATGCTCAGGCCTAAATTTCCAAAAGAGGCTTTTTTTGCCCAGCTTGAGACACTCGTAGCAAATTACGTGTACCCTCAAATCCACATGATTTCAACTGGAGTTGTGCGTTATGAAAACCTCCTGGGCTTTAATGTCTCAAACTGACCACCAAACAGTACTGGCCAGTGTTGTCTTGTTTTTTAAGGCCTTAGGATAGAGATGCTTCAAATATTTTCCAACTAGTGAATAATAAGTTGAACTATTTTAATTCTAATGTCTCTGAATTGTGTCACACAGGTAGGAGGAAAAGATCCTCTCCTGTGGCACAAAGACTTTACAATAGATTTTCTCCAGTGGCAACTGATTCTTTTGTGTTCAGCCCTGGTTTGCAGTTGGTTTTTCTTGTCTTTGTTCTAGTACAATGAGGAGGGGTCTCCTAAACAACAGGAATGATGGGAAATACCTGAGGCTCAAACATTTAACAATATAGGATCTAACTTCTGTTGTTCTTTTTCCCAAGTGGATGGATTCTTTTGGTTTGATGTAGTTGCAACAGCACCTTCCGTGATGGTGTAGCCTTGGCTAGGAAATAGACAAACTCTGTGTACCTCAGAATGGGAGTCAGGGAGGTTGTGGCCCAGGACAGATAAACATATACCCTGGAGTGGTTTACTTTGGTTTCCTCTATCTGCGCAAGTTCTATAAGAACCAGAATGGGCAGCTATTCCAGGGTGAATCTAATTGCAGGCAGTTATTGCTGCTCTTCACCATTAGGCAGCAGAGAAACATTCAGTAGCCTT